CCCCACCCACAACCATCAAAACCGCTACCATCATTAGGAAATGCTAACGACTCGCGGTGGCGCTATATAGAAATTGAGACTGCAAGGTTTCTCTGTCTCCTCTTGCTCCCATGGAAGGACTGGTGGGTTTGAACCCCCCTGGCTGGCCATTTGTCACCCAATGCCTGATGCACAGCAGCACCAGGGCACAAATGAACCTGTATCTAGAGGAAGCTAAAGAGGAATCTCTGTGTGCCAGGCTTCAACCACTCTGTCAAGCTCAAACAGGAGCCTTGCACCAGCGCCTGTCCCATTCGGTTGGATGCCCCATAATGCACTGCACACCCACTCAAAGAGTCACTGAGAGTCCTCTGTGCCAGCAGGAGGGAGCGCACCTTTCACACTGGCCAAAGACCCTGTGATTTCTTTGTCTTTAAACCGCCTCCCAGCAGCCAGTGACCCCCATCTCATTGACTCTGCAGGACGAATGATGTTCACCACCGTTTCCGCATTTGAATGTTCCACCATCCCCATTAGTAATTATTTGGGCATCCCTGCCTCTCCATCACCCTCCAGTCCTCCATTGCTCGGGAGGAATCAGCTTGAAGATCATCAGTCATGTCTCCCTCCAGTTACCTGGAGTGTCTGTGTCGATCTTGAGTTATGAGCGAGGTTTCAGCACAACATTTACCACCCCTACCTCTGCCGAGAGCCAGAAAGAGAAGAGAAAAAGGCAAGCCACAAAGGCAAAGCCACACGCTTGCATTTCTCTTGATTTCCATTTAATTCAGCCTGGAAAAGGGGGCAATTTTGTCTTCGGCCACCCCTCCGGTTCTTCTGGGCTGTTACAACTTTCTAAAGCCCCGAGGAGTGGCCGGAAGGAGATGTCCGTCTGAGTGTGCGCCCGCAGCACAAGGCTCGATGCTTGCGGAACTGTGTGCTTGTAGAGAACAAGGCGCCGGGCAGCCGAGATGCGGCTAGACCTGTTCCTTTCTAGAACCGTGCCCTGGTGGTCCCAGCAGGTTGGCAGTTCCCACCTACTCAGCACCTCTGAGGGAGAAAAGGCTGGTCCTCTGTCCCTGAAAAGAAAATCAAACTCCCTGCCATCGAGTCGATGCCGACTGACTCACGGACACGCGTCCTTCTCGGTGAAAACAGAGTTCGGAAACCCACAGGGGCAGCTCCGCCCTGCTCTGTAGGGTCTCCAGGAGTCTAGGTGAGAGCCTGGAAAACTCGCAGAGGCCACGCCTCCTCTGTCCCACAGGGAACTCTGTGAGCAGAAAGTGCCTCCCCTCCGCAGCAGCCAGCAGCACAAAAGAACCTTTGCTCCAAGTGGGAATGTCAGGGTGAGAGACGAATTTGCACATGGCCCATAGGGTCCTGGGCAGTTAACAAGCCAGCACCCACCTAACACATCAAGGGATGTTGAAGGGGGGGCGGGAGGAGCAGCAGAAACCTGTTTATATCTTCATCACAAACTTCCGTGCTTCCTAACAAAACTAATGTACAGCTACCTGGCATAATGCATTCCATGCTGTTTTGCATCAATAACCCCTACACTTCCCTCCTGAAGGCGCCTCATTGCCAAATGCAAGCCGACTGCCTAATGCAGGACTAATTAGTATATCCCCTTCCAGTCTGCGGGCCTCCACTGTCATTCCTTCCCAGCTCATTTTCCCACAACTGAGCATCAATCAAAGTAAGTGCCCTGCCTGCCTAGGCAACACAAGATGTCCTCCATGCATTTGTCATCTGCCACGCAAACAAAGGGGGGATTTAATTGTTGATTTGGGCAGACGCAGCCATTGCTCATGCTAAAGGGAACTGCATGCCATGGAAGC